TCTAAGGTGGCATTGTTCGCTGATGATACTACCATTTATTCTTGTCACGATAAGAAGCCAACTCCCTCTGATTGCTTGCAGGGGGCATCTGAGCTTGAAAAGGATCTCACTTCTGCTACAGCATGGGGTACAGTGGTTGGTGAACTTTAATTCAGATAAAACTCAGTTTTTTTCAGCCAATCGTTATCACAATAATTTAGATCTTTATATATTTATGAACGGTAATGTACTCGATGAGTCTCCTACCTTTTATCTTCTAGGATTAACTCTTACTTCTGATCTTTCTTGGAAACCTAATATCAAATCCGTTGCAAAATTTGCATCTGCTAAAGTTGCTTCGCTTTACCGAGCTCAACACTTTCTTACTCTGGATTCTATTCTCATCTCTATAAATCTCAAATCTGGCCTTGTATGGAATACTGTTGTCATGTCTGGGGCGGATCTTCTAATGATGCCCTTTCTCTTTTAGACAAGGTGCAAAAACGCATTGTAAACATAGTTGGACCTGTTCTTGCAGCCAACCTTCAACCTCTGTCATATCGTCGTAATGCTGCTTCTTTCCCTTTTCAACAAATACTATAATGGGCATGGCTCGAAAGAGCTAGCGTCTCTTGTGATCTCTACTAAAATTCATTCTCGTGTTGCTCGTCATTCAATTAAGTCTCATCCTTTTTCTGTTACTGTTTTTAGGTGCTCCAAAAACTCTTACTCATCTAGTTTTTTTCCTCGAACATCAGTTCTCTGGAATTCGCTTCCTTCATCTTGCTTTCCTGATTTATATAATTTGCAATCTTTTAAGTCGTCTGTCAATTGTTATCTTGCCCTACAATCTTGATCTTTTCTCTTCCAGTAATTTCCAACACTAATTAGTGGTTGCTTGCAGCCTTGTTGGAAGTGGAGATAATAAAAAAAAAAAAAAAAAAAAAAAAGGGAAAAAAAAATTAAACAGGCTAAACTATATAAAAAAGAAACCTTAACAAGTGAGAAATTAAAAAAATTAAAACCTATAGCTTTAAAAAAAAACTTATATAAATCTGAAAAACTTAAACTCTAATAGAAAATTAATTTTACTTATGCTTTGCAATTACGTTAAAGTTGAACAACTCGTCGTTGGTTTAACGAGTTTCAAACAGATTTTGTTTATATTAGGAGAATAGCAATTAAACCCTTTTTTTTTTAATGTCTTAATAAAAATAAATATATGGCTATTTTTTATTTATTTATATATTTTTATATATCAATTAAAAAAAGAATACATAAACAAATAAAAATAATAATATAAATAATTTTAATTAAATATTGAAAAAAAATAAAAAGATTTTTTTTTAATTCTTCTAACACAGTTATTAACCTTTAAAACGCAACGCAACAAAACAAAATTTTGATCTTTTTTAATGTTTTTATTATATAAGGCGAACTCTTTTAAATAAAAAATATTTAATTATCATTTAATAAAAAACAAACTTTAAATTATTAAAAAGTATTTATAAAATAAGTTAATTGAAACGGATTTGTTGTTGTCGTTGTATGTTATATTAAGAAATACAAAGTGTTTTAAAAATATTACATTAATCATTACAAAAATACTTTTAAAATAAAAGTTTTAAATATTCTTTGATCTGGGCGCAACAAATCAACGAATGCAAACATTTGGTCAAAAAAAAACGACTGAAAAATGAACATCGCATTTCCTTAATTTTTCTTAAGTAAATGTTGGCTTTCGCTTAAAAATTTTTAAAACGAACGCATAACTTCAGCAATTTTTTTCCAAATAATTATGCGATTGATGGTTTTTTATTTATTATGAAAAGAAGAATATAATTATTTTAAAAAAACAAAAAGTTACTAAAATTTAAAACGCATTTTCAACAACTTTAAAAGAAACCATGCAAATACTTTTTTCAATTGCGTTACTTTTAAGCACGCAACTGAAGAAAATAATGTTTTAGCATGGATTTTACATGTGTTTATAAAAGTATACGAAATTTTAGTCAAAATGAATGGAATTGCAATTACTTTAAAACAAACCATGCTAAAACATTGCTTTTTTTAAAAGGGCACTTTTTTTCTAATTTTCCTATTATTGTTACATTAATGTTTGCTTACCCTTTTTAAAGTTTTACAAATATTTTCAGGACTTTGCAGAAATATATGTAATTTGATAAAATATATAGAACTATTATGTTTAGTATAGTTTTCATTTTTTACTTTGCGTTTAACAACAACAATAATAAGATATTTTATTACTAAATACTTAATGTTATTATAAATATATTATATTTAATAATAACTTAATATAATAACTTATTAAATACTTAATATTATATTATTGTTTTTAAATGTCTTAAAAAAGGAATGTCAAAACAACTTTCATTTTATTTTTAGTTTCCTTTTATTTAAATTTCTTCAAGTTTATACGTTTGTTAAGTAAATAAATTTAATAAAATAAAGTGAGAAAAATTCACCATTTTGTATTAATGGTAACAATTTACAGTCATAATGCTATTGCAAATTAGTTATCATTAATTGTGAAATGTGTGAAAAATTGTTTTAAAGTAATTGATAAAATTCAATAAGCATAATAAAAAATTGATAAAATTCAATAAGCATCTTTGATATATCTAATAATTATATATCTTATTAACTAGAATAAAAGTTATTAGAAAATAAAACTCCCTTATAAAATTATTGGAATAAAAAAAAAAAAAAAAATTGAAAGAATGGAAAAAAAAACTGGCATATTCATGGCCGACAACACGTTTTAAAGTGAAGGTGCACAACCACCTATTTCTAAAGACAAGTCCTCTATATCTAGAATTTTTCTTTAAAAAAAAAAAGGGCCTTTAGAAAAAAAGTGTGTGTAGGGAGGGGGAGGGGGAGGTGCCTCCTCCCACACATTGTCGGCCTATAATATATGACCTCCTAAATTTATTTGAAAACGATTAGCTTAGTGTAAATAAATTTTATTATAAAGTTTACATAGCATAAAAAAAAAATTGTTATGTTTTTGACTATTAAATTTATAGATTCTACAAAAAGTTTATTAAAAAAATCCTTTTTGTTGTTGTCTATAAAATTAATTGTACAAAGTTTTTAAAAACATTTATATTCATCGTAATAAATACACTTTTTAAAAATATCTTTTAATAATTTAAATAAATGTGTTTGTAGTAAACAATCTTTAAAAGCAATTTTTTGCCTAACTGCCTTATACATTATTTAGCACATTTTTCAACATTTTCAAAACTTTAGCTGTGGTTAAGTTTTTGAAAAATAAAAATAAATGTGTAGTCAGAAATAGAGGGTGATCGCACGCCTTTCCTGTCCACGTCTGCATCTCAGAAGCTTTTATACCTTCTGGAATAAAAGCTTGGAAGCTTTTATTTTTACTCCTCACGTCAAACCTCATTCTACTCCATATTTTTTTCACCATCTTAAATCATTACTCATTTATTTCATTTTTTTTACAAGAACATTAATCATTTATTTCATCTATTTTACAAGAACATCTCTCTTAGGATCAAATGTCCTTTTATTACTCCAAGAAGCCAATGTAAATCTGATGTTAAGCTCTGTTACTCTCAGTTTACTAAATCTTGTATCTTATATCAGATGTTAGGTTCTAGAGACTTTTAGTTAGTCTTCAACAATATCATTAATTAGTCTTCAAATTAATTAAATCAGAGCATGAAATAAATAAAAACTAATATTTTAAATATAAACTATGATATTCCTATAAAAAAAATTTTTGCAAAAAATTTTTTGCATTTTTGCAACTTTTTGGAAAAAATATGTTATACAATTTAAAAAATATATATCACTATAAAATATATAACCCTTTACAATTTAAATAAAATTTGTTCATTGATTAAACAACCATTAGAAGTAACTTGTGAAAGCCTTTTGCGTAACCTTAATAAAACATTTCAAAAGATAAGTTTTAATGTAATTTATTTTAAAAGCAATTAACAAAAATGTGACAAAAAGAAATTTTCAATTCAAATTTGAGTTTTTTAAGTTTTATTTTAGTGCTTAGATATATTTTTTTTTTCGTGAGGAAATGTTTTCTTTTTTAATTTTTTTTTTTTTTTAATTTTTTTCCTAGTTTAAGTTTAGCTTGCGTTTTTTTAACACAATTCTATTATGCTAAAAAATCATTTAAACAGTCATATTCAAGTTTTTAAGTGTGTAAAGATGATAATAAGTAATATAAAAATTTTCTCTTGTTTGATATTATCTGGTGTCATAAAGTACTTTTTCTTTACTATAGTCTAGTAGGTTACTGTTTCGATATGCCCTAATTGCTGCTATGCCTCCCTTTCAACTTTAAAACATAAACTTTGATAAACAAGATCAATCCACAGAGAAACAACTTGAATGTGACACTTCTAGGAATGTAGCGAGCTTGTATTCTATATCATATTTTAATTATAAAACTAACTGTTTTAATTATAAAGCCAGTTTTTAATAATAACTTTATATATTTATATTATAAAAAATAATTAACTTTTAATACAAATATTTAGTAATTGCAGTAAATTTAGTAAATATTTGTAAAAAGTTTTAATAATATGAAGAAAAAAAATGTGAAATTTTTACAAACATATAAAGATTAGTAATAGTTAAAAAATGTGTTTGAAAAAAATTGAATACAATCAATACCGTTATAATCATTATAATATTCCCAGCTTTTTGTATTAAAAAAGAGTTAAAGACATTAAATTATCAAACATACCCTTCTTTTTTAATACAACAAAAAGAGTAAATTACGTGTTTCTTTATGAGGCAACTTCAACCAAATTTTTTTTATAAACCTCATTAACTAATAAAAAAATATTAGTTCGATACAAACGAAAAATGTAAGAAGTTAATTTGCTTATGTTTTTGTTGACTTCGCACCTTCTGCAAATTGCCAACTTTAATATTATAGTTTAAATGACGATGGCTTTAATATACATTTGTATATATATATACATATATATAAAATATTAATAAATTACCATCTTCCAATAATCTTATTGAATGAGGGTGAGTATCAGGATTTAATACATCTTTTTCTTCCAAAAGCTCTTGGAGGTAAGTATCAGACATTTTCAGTTTAACTCCAGCTATCGTGCTTTTTAGTGGCGTATATTACTCCACAAAATTTCATACTTAAGCGCAGAAATGAGATTAGCCGTGATTATTGACACCAGATCACATTTCAACCTAAAAAAATTACATTTTTTCAAAATAATAAAAAATGTAAACATTTTAAGACAGAATTTTTGAATAAGGTTAAAACTTACAATTTTTCGAGCGGAACGCTTGCACGTGAACAAATAACAAATGTAAAATAAAATATATATTTATTTTTTACCTAAGTAAATACATAAGTATAAATATACAGGGCCGGCGCAAGTAGGTATCACGTGGGAGATACCATTACAACTTTTGCCGATTAAAATTAAAAAAAAAATGGGTCAAAATTTATCGACAATTGCCGACTGACTGTCTAAATTCACCGACTAACTTGTCGAAAGGGTCTATATTTGCCGACTACTCAAAAAGGGTAAAATTTGACTAAATGAACGAGAAAATCATTGATGGGGGTGTCACACCCCCGCACCCCCAACGCACAGGCTTGTACATATAGTAAAAACAGTCAATATAAGATTGAAATCTAATAAAAAGCAAAAATATAGACACACCATTGATCCCAAGCCTAAGCACTTACTATTGATACAAATTTAGTGAAATCTAACAATCCACGAACAGTTTCTGTCGAAATTTCAATATTTTTCAATTTTTAATGTCCACAGTACCGTCCCTAAAAGGTCGTAGGGGGAATCTAACCCCCAACTAAAACTTTATTATAAATTTATTTGAAAATTTGACCTGCAGTCGGCAAGTTTTAACTTTTAGGCGGCAGTTGGCAAACGTCTGACTTTTGATGGCAATTTACTCTTTAAATGGTTCAGTTGGAATTTTTAAAAGATTCCAACTGAACCATTTTCAGATTTTTATCACTAATGCTTATCATTTTCTTAGACTTATTAGAAAAGCTGAACCTATCAAGTAAATATTTGAACTTATCAAGTAAATATTTGAACCTATCAAGTAAATTTTTGATCTTATCAAGTAATTTTTTGAACCTATTAAGTAAATCTTTGAACTTATTAAGTAAATCTTTATCATCTAAAGAGTTTAAACTAACTTCAAATTCATATTCAAAATTGATAGATGAATAGAAAAAAACCCTCAAACTTATTGGATTTTATTTCCTTTATTTTTATTTCACCCCTACATCATGTATTCTCTTTCTTCCTAAACCAAATATGCTTACTTTCCAATGACCTAAAAAACGATTGGTCCAGCTCTCATGTAATATACGTGAAATATTTCTAAAAAACATTTTCTGAATATAATTTTGAAATATTTTCTGTCTATACTTCTAAAATACATTATGTTCAAACTTTGGTATAACAATATCAAAGACTGTGTAACTTACCTATAAAAATATGCAGATTAGCTTTCTGTTTTTGTGCTTTTGAAGGCAGGCTATTATCAAATTTTGAGGGGATGCTACTATCAACTTGCTTCTGAGTGCAGGTTATTATCAAGTTAGTAGATTGAAATCTTAGTAATCTAAAATAATAAATGAACGATTTATTTATCATTAGTTGTTGTTGTTTTTACATTTTTTGAATCATAATATTTCATTTTTTGACACCATTTTTGATAGAGAAGGAAGACAGGATAAAATCTGTTTCAAGACTTATAAAGTCCTGCACACAAAATGGTTAAAAAGGGTAAAATATGTGATTTACCCTTAAGGTATAATTTTCTACCTTTTAAGTTAGAAAATTAAACTTTTAAGGTACAAAATTGAAAAAGCATTGTTTTAATATAATTTTCTACCTTAAAATTAAGTAGTACCCCTCTTATATGGGGTGAGGGATGAACAAAAATATTTATGTATTTTTGTACTCAACTTCCATTACAGAGATTATTTAAGCTTTTTTTGACTCAAATTTAAAGTTTGGTTTATATCTATTATCTTAAACACAAAATAATTCTGTGCTCCACTCTTGCATGTATGGTTCAAATACTACAGATTGAAAAATGTTAATGATTTCACGTAACAAATATTTTCACGTTACGTATTTTTTCATTAATGTACCAATTTGTTATCTAAATATGTAAAATTCTTAATTAAGATTGGAGTTATGGGTTAGTGTTAAAACTTTCATACAACTATTTTAAAACTAGGACTAAGGATTTTTATATATTTAACTGATCTTAATGTAAATAAAGAAAAAGTACTTCTTTCCGAAATGATTTATTGGAAATTTTATCCAAACATCTACAAATATAAAAACTGGTTGTATGTTATGGTTGCGTTAAGTTGTATGTTATGTTGTAAGTTATGGTTGCATTAAGTTTTTCCATCAAATCACATTGCATGAAGATAATTAAAGATCATAAAGTCACATAACAAATTTGTTCAAAATTGCAGTTTTGATTTTTGATACCGTTTCTGATTACGCATTAAAACACCTAAAAGAACTGAAAATACGTAGTTTATAAAAGACTTAATACTTAAAAATCAATAACACAGAAAAAAAGTTTTTATTTGTGTTTACAACAACAACATGTATTTGTTACAAACAAAATAACTAAACTAACACCCTATAAATAAAATTTCGGAGAAATTATAATTGCATTTATTATGTAATTTATTTCATCCCCGCAAAAAACTTTTATACTTATTTGAAAGAAGATTTTATAATTTATTTAAATTTTATTTAATTAAGTTAAAAATATTATTTAAATATTGAAAAAAAAATGATCAAAGTAAAGGACCTCGAAAAAATGATGGAAATTTTTTTCCAAAAAAAATCTAGAAAAAGTTTGTTGCTAAGCAGTTTATGGAAGGGGATTTACCCAGATCAACTGTTTACGATAAAACCGTAAAATTGGAGAATGAATCTCTAAAAAGAAAAGTCAAATCGCTAAGGTAGCTACTAAAGAAAATATTTCAAAGATTGCTGCATTTTTTGAAAATAAGTCAGGGTGCTCCCAAAAGATGCGTCCTAAATGTCATAAATTGTACAAAAATTATAAAAACTTGGATTTTGTTATGGATGATGAAAGCTATTTTACCTTAAACAATAGCACATTAGCTGGTGATGATAGGTTTTATGCCACTGATCCATCTCAATGTTTTAACGAAGTAAGATACAATTTGCGTAAAAAGTACGAGGACAAGCTCTTAGTTTCTTGTTGCATCAGCCCCCATGGAATAAGATCTCTTTATATTCATCACAGTAAGCAGGCAATCAACCAGTACACTTATAAAGAGATACTAGAAAAAACTCTACTTCCTCTAGTATCAGAATATTATTTTAAGAAAATGAGTTTATCTACTGGCCTGATCTAGCTCGATCATATTATGCAAAGTCGGTCATCGACTTTTTAAAATTGAAAAAAATCAAATTTGTATTCAAAGATATAAACCCAGCTAACGTTCCAGAAGCAAGACCAATTGAAAACTTTTGGGGTATTTAAAACGGCTAGAGTACGATAATAATTGGAGAGCTGAGAATTTGGAAAATCTTGAAGCAAGAATTTGATATTTCTATTCAAAGATGAATAAAGAAATTTTCCTTACTCAAATAAAACATCTTTCAAAAAACTTTATAATATTGCTAAATATGGTATTTGAAATAATGGTTTTAATATATTTATAAATTATATATACTAACATATTAAAAGTTGAAATATTAATTTATAAAACTTAATAGTTCTTAAAATATTAATTTTTAAATTTAGTCCAAAAATTTATTTATGAGGTGTTATTTTGTTAAAACATGTTTCTCAATGAATGCTCTGCTCAGGTTGTTGCCAGTCCAAATTTTTAAGGCAGTTCGGCTTACCTTCTAGACATTTCTTTTAAATAATTTTTTTTTGAAAAGTTGTTGTCTTAACTGAATAATAGTGAGCAAAAGTTGTGCAAAGTTAAAAAAATTATTATTGACGACAATAAGGAGGTTGATTTAAATTGTCCTTTAACTAAAAGATGATTATATGATAAAATAAGCAATTAAATTGTTAGTAACAACTTTTCTAGTTATATTCGAATTAAACGACATTGATATTGTATTCTCCCCTGAATCCATAATTTTATCTAGAAGGTGAGGCAGAAAACTCGACGTTTTGTCATTTCTTACAACGAAAAACTCTTAAATATCGGGAATTCGGTAATTCTTAACGGTTTGTATTTAATGGATTTTTGATGGGTAGTAACAACAGAATAAATTTGTCATGTAAATTATAAATTCCTAATATTTAAGATTTGAACAAAAAATAATATGGTTTGTTATGAATTCATTGTATTATATGATAATTCATATCATGTTATGAACTCATGATATATATTTGAAAAATTAATAATTGCTGAAAAAACTTTCTTGTCGGGCTTTTTAAGTCTAGAAGTCATATTGTAAAACAACGTTTTAAAGTTATCCCGCGAGATATGAACGACAAATTATTACGTCACTCGCAGATAATCGAAGTAAATCCAAGACTGGTCTTAAACAACTTGAGTGGTCTTTAGATTAATCTAGAAATAACTATAACGATGCAAATTCGTATGTTTTTTGATTCAAATAAACCGTTTTTATCAAGATAATCTTTTGCCGCGTTTAGTCATTTAAAAAGGACGACTGGATAAGCACGAATTTCTTAAGTGTGAACTGACACGAGTGCGAATAGCGTAAATGCGAACTTGCAGAAGTGCAAACTGGCATAAGTATGCCAGTTTGCACTTATGCAAATGTTTGCAAATTTTTTTGGCGGAATTGTGCCAGTTTGTGCTTATCAACCCTTACATTATGTAATTATTTGCAGCAATGCCTTGATCTACGTCCGACCAAGTATTCAAGGTAAAGGTTAACAGTTTTACTTTCACGTTCGATCAAGTATTCAAGGTAAAGGTTAACAGCTTTAATTTTTTTTCACAATCTTATATTCATAGTTTCATTCCAAAAATGTAAAAATGATTCTTCTTTAGGCATATCATGCTACCAACAGCGTTGATGAATCCTTGAGTCCTAGAAAGCCATCTTCTCCTTCAAAATTTTCAACTGTCTCTAAAGAAGATGATGATAGTCAAGTGAGTTTGCGACGTATTTTTATTTTATGAAAAACCTGCAAATATTAAAAAT